CACTAGCCTTGAGCTGAAGAGCTGAGGGACAGCACCCAGGCCCAGAGTTCAGGCCCCACAACTGGACCCCCCCCAAAAAAGAAAAAAAATACAATATAATAATGTATATAATATATAATATGTAATATACATAATTTATATAATATATAGTATGCAACATGCAATCGTATATATAATATATACTATGTAATGTATAATATACTGTGTATAATATGTTAAATATAGCATGTAATGTATCATAATTTATATATTATATAATATGCAATATATCATAATGCATATAATATAATATATACAATATGTAACATCATGGATATCATATAGTATCTATTATATAATACGTAAGGATAGATATGATAGACCGTATTACACTATGCTTTATATTATATATGTATGTATCACATAAAGGCTGAGGCCCACGGGGAGTCCCCACCTGCCCCTCACTTCCCCCGCAAGTGCCACCGGCGCTGGTAGACCTCGCAGCTGCCCCCTTGTGACACGTGGGCCGGGCCTGGGCCTCCGCTCCTGACCTGGGCTCTGTGGCTGGGGGGGGGCACCGTGGCCCCGAGGGAAGCTTCTGGTGCCTCCTCCGCCACAGGCCCCTGGAGGCCCCTCACGGCCCCCTGCCCCTCGCCCGCAGGAGGTGTTGGATGACGCCATCTCCTACCCCGACGGCACCTTCATGGACTGGGAGTTTAAGATCTCCGTCCTCTATGACATCGCCAAGGTAAGGGCTGCAGACGCGGACGCTCATGACGGAGCCACGGGCGACGGAGCCACGGGCCGCCGGCCAGGCCCTGAGCTCACACCGCAGCCCTTCACACACTGGAGCCCATGCCCTGACAAAGGAAACCAGGCCTCGATTTAGTTCCATTCATTCATTCATTCATTCATTCATTGTGCTGGTCCTGGGGCTCGAACTCAGGGCCTGGGCGCCGTCCCTCAGCTCTTTCACTCACGGCTGGTGCTCTACCACGTGAGCCACAGCGCCACTTCTGGTTTTCTGGTGGTTCCTTGGAGATCAGAGACTCATGGACTTTCCTGCCCAGGCTGGCTTTGAACCATGATCCTCAGATCTCTGCCTCCTGAGCTGCTGGGATGCCAGGCGGGAGCAGCAGCACCCAGCCCCTTTCTTGAGTAGTGGCGACCTCTTCCTGACTGCGGGTCGCAGTGGTGTTAGCAGACGGGGTTCAACATAGGACCTGGCGCCCATGCCCAGGGCCACGTTAAAAAAAAAATGGAGTCAAATCCCAGCTCCTCAGGAGGCTGAGATCTGAGGATCTCGGTTCAAGGCCAACTCTGGGCAGGAAAGGCCGTGAGGCTGTGATCTCCCATGAGCCACCAGAAAACTGGAAGTGGCGCTGTGGCTCACATGGTAGAGCGCCAGCCTTGAGTGAAAGAGCTCAGGGACAGCGCCCAGGCCCTGAGTTCGAGTCCCAGGACCGACACAGGAAGGCGCGTGGATGTGGGGAAGGCGGGTTGGGGTGGGGGCGCCTGGGGCCGGGCCAGGCACCGGCTCTGTGTCCGCGCGTCCCGCACATGATGCCGCCGCCCGCAGGGCATGTCTTACCTGCACGCCAGCAAGGTGGAGGTGCACGGCCGCCTCAAGTCCACCAACTGCGTGGTGGACAGCCGCATGGTGGTGAAGATCACAGACTTCGGCTGCAACTCCATCCTGCCGCCCAGGAAAGGTGGGCACGGCCGGGTTCCGGGGCGTGGGGGGTCAGGGGCACGGGGGTCGCGGGGGTCACCAGGGCGTCGCCCAAGCTTCCTGTCCCATCCATGTCACCCCAGCACCCAACGCTCAAGACATGGGCGCTGCCCAGTGGAAGGGAGGGAGGGAAGGAAGGGAGAGAGGGAGGGAAGGAAGAGGGAGAGAGGGAAGGAAGGAGGGAGGGAGGAAGGAAGGAAGGAAGAGGAAGGGAAGGAGGGAGGGAGGGAAGGAAGGAGGGAGGGTGGGAAGGGAGGGAGGGAGGCAGGGAAAGGAAGGAAGAGGGAGGGAAGGAAGGAAGGAGGGAGAGAGGATGGGAGGGAGAGAGGGAGGGAAGGGAGGAAGAAGGGAGAGAGGAAGGGAGGGAGGCAGGGAAAGGAAGGAAGGAAGAGGGAGGGAAAGAGGGAGGGAAGGAAGGAAGAGGGAGGGAAGAAGGGAGGGAAGGATGGAAGGAGGGAGAGAGGATGGGAGGGAAAGAGGGAGGGAAGTGAGGAAGAAGGGAGAGAGGGAAGGAAGGAGGGAGGGAGGGAAGCAGGAAGAGAAAGGAAAGAAAGGAAGGAGGGGAGGAGAAAGGGAGGGCAGAAGGAAAGGGAGGGAGGGAAAGAAGGAGGGAACAGGAAAGGAGAGAAGAGGGAGGGAAGGGAAGAAAAGAGGGAGGGTGGGAAGGAAAGAAGACAGGGAGGAGAGAAGAAGGAAGGAAGGAAGAAGGGAAGGAGAGAGGGAAGGAAGGAGGGAATGGGAAGTAAGGAGGGGAGGGAAGGAGAGAGGGAAGGGTGGGAGGGAAGGAGGGAGAGAGGGAAGGAAGGAAGGGAAGGAAAGAGGGAGGGAAAGAAGGAGGGAGAGACAGAAGGAGAGAGGGAAGGGAGGGAGGGAAGAAAGAGGGAGGGTGGGAAGGAAGGGGGAAGGAGGGAGGGAATGGGAAGGAAGGGAAGGAGGAAGGAGGGAGGGAGGGAGGGCAGGAGGGGGGCGGCACTGACGCGCCCCACCGGCCCGCAGACCTGTGGACGGCCCCAGAGCACCTGCGCGGGGCGGGCGTGTCGCAGAAGGGGGACGTGTACAGCTTCGGGGTGGTGGGCCAGGAGATCGTGCTGCGCAAGGACACCTTCCACACGCTCAGCTGCCGCGAGCGCAAGGGTAGGGGCGCG